TAACGTTTGCTGCCAATTCATGCCTTCTCCGATTTCAACATTGTCAGCAAATAAAGTTAAATCGGTAAGCAAGCCTTTGGCATTTAAAAATACCTGCAACAAAGTGGCAGTGTCACGTTTACCACCATTGCCATATATACGACCTGAACCAGTGGTCAGTTGTAAAAGGTTTAATCTTTGCATAGCATCGTCTACAGACGTAGCCGTTGACATATTGATCGGCGTTTCGGCCATTCACACCATGACGTAGTAGGAGTGCCGGAATGTTATTATGCCCGGCATAAATTGTGTTTTCAAAGTTTTCAATACCTCCAGAGGCAAGGATTGCGTACTGATAAGAATTTGTTGTAGTAGAAGCCAATTTCGACATAACGCGAAGCGAATTAAAGCATTCTGTCGAACTGTTTCCGATAGGACAGATAATCCAATTTGGCTACCAAATAACGCTCCTAATGAGTTAAGCACACGTTTTGAACGTCCCAAATGATCATGTGTTTGCATAAACTCGGGATTTCCGTTATCCATACGTAAAATATCGAACAATAACGAAATTGCGTTACGTATATCACTAATCGATACCAATTTCTAACGTATTATGACCAAAAAGTTGTTGGACAGTAAACCCTTATCTGTATCGTCCGCCAGGAACTCTCCGACAAATTTTTCTATCAATACATTTGACTTTTCAAGTTGATAGAGCTTACGATCAAAGTCGATTTTAACATCTTCTGGCAGCCACTTTTCTATTTGAGTCAGCAGATTAACTAAAGCTAGCAAATCGTTGCCCAAGATTTCATTTTCTGCAAAATGTTGATATATTACAGCATTTGCTTCCACATGATCGCCGGCCAGCAGTAAATGCTCAAGGGTATCGCAAGGTCTAAGAAGCGAAAACGAATTTTTCTTTATAATGCAAATACCATCCAAGGCCGCCAGTATAAATAAACCACTGGGATGAGAAGTTTTAACGTGATATTGCTCACAACAGGAGTAAAAACGTTCCCATAGGCGTGTAGATGCCTCTAGATAATCATCATCGGTTGCATCGATATCTTTGACTTCATTTTGTAATTCGTCTTCTACAGCCTGGCAGACGTGTTTTTTGAGCAAATTCATTGTGCAATGTTTTCCTTCAAATCGCACACTAGTCCGTCGAAACATGAACAATGCTTTCGCAATCACGCTCTTTTAAAATTTACCCGTATGAAAGATGTAAAAACAATAAGCTTCGCGGGGATCCATGCCATGATGACGTAATACCACTTTGAATAAGTTTTAATAAAAACTATTCCAGATCCAACTTTCTACGTTCAAGAGCAAGTGAATGGATGAAAAATAAACGCCGTGCATGTAAAAGAAATTTTCTATTCGTATCCCATCGTAGTCTTCTCAAAGCAAACGAGAGAAATTGTTGGTTGAATACCTTTAACCATATTAACGTAATAATCATTACTGTGAGTCTAAACAAAAGACGCATATCCAACTAACGGCTTTAACAAAGCCGTTTAAAGACCTTTCGTAAAGTAGGTGCCCTAAAAGTCCTTTGATAACCTTTTAATGAAACCAAATGCAGATTTCGCCTTGCATACAACAGGTTTTACATGCGATTTACCTTAAAGCATTCCGACAGCAAAAATAAACCGGACACAAAAAGAGAGAACCTCTCCAAGCTTGGTGAAGGGAGAAAAAGTTTAACATGACCGGTAAAGCTTAACGTCGAGAGTACAGTAGTATTTCCGAATTTCCGAATCCAAAGGAACAGCGGGCATAGATGGTTCCCCTGCGGAGCTCCAGATTTCATCATTATGTACTCACACAGTTACAATCTAATTAACTTGCTAACAGCGTCACGTTTGAAAGCCTGCAGTATTTCGTGTATTTGAAAGCCAGTAGTCTCTTGAGTAAAATTCGACCCTTGAGTAACATTCTCAGCAGTCATTCAACTTGTTAAACCTAGTACACTTGTTTTAAATTTTTTTAATTAATTTCATTTTCTCTTTATAATTTAAAAATGTATTCTTTGTTCTTTGCTAGTCTTTTATCCCATGGCAAAGTGCGAATACTCATTAAACCAGTATAACCAGTTAAATTCTATATCGCAGCTATATATTACACAATTACAAATGCAAACAAAATATAGATGATGATTCGTACCAACAAAAACCGTTAATATAGAATATCGCAACACAATGTTCGTTTAGTTATATGATTTGGTACAGACGTTACATTCCATTAGCCCTTTGATCTTCAAGGCACTAAAGCACGTGCTTAATGGCAAACCGGAACGCGGTCTTAAATATCTTGAGCTGTCAAGTTCAACGGCTGTCAGTCCAACCTAAATCGAAAATAAAAAAAAAAAAAGGAAACAGTCAAACATTCATATATGTATTCCCAGGTTTTCCTTAAAAAACCAGTAGCATTATATGAACTGGCCTCAGTTGTGCTATCCCATATCACTGTATTTGCCATCTAAATCCCTTGTATTATCACCTGACATATTATTATAACGATTACATTGTAGACGTAATAATATTTTACGATACCATTCCACAAGAATAGCTCTACGATATGACATTATGCCAATTTGCAGCATTATAAACCAAAGCCATGATATGGAATTGAGTTGTTCCCAACGTAATAATAGCACCATTATAGATACCACATACGTCCGTACACAATCACCGTGAATAAGATTTGAACTGGAAGAGAATTTTATAATACATAAACCAGTATAGCCGTGAACAGCTTTGTTAGCCGCAAGACAAAAGAACTTAATTTATGTTTACATATAAACATCGGCGCAGGCCGTGTAAATGAGTAAATTTCTTTCGCGATCAAGTAATTCAAAGAGCTTAATATACATATACATAATTACAATAATAATAATAATAATAATACATAGGAATACAAAATAATATGGGTAATACGTAATAAATAAAAAGCCCCGCTAATATATATATATATAAAATAAATACATATATATAAAATAAATAAAAATTTCTGGTATGCCGGTGTGCTGACTTCTGCAAAAGAAAAAATATTGTGATTAATAAATTTTATATATGCAAAGATGATCACAAACTTACAATTGGCCTACGGAAGTATCCTATTATGCTGAAACGACGAGTGGAGGTGTATGCTTGCTTTTGAATCTAAAATAAAATAAAAAGA